TAGTCGTAGTAGTAGTAGTAGTAGTAGTAGTAGTAGTAGTAGTAATATTTGCGGCTCTCGCAGCTGCTGGGCCCCTTCGTTACATCAGCTCCAACAACAATGGCAACAGGTGCAATCCTCACAACATAAAATACATTCGAGCGGCCACGCGCGACTGTGTTATGTTACGTGCCAGCGAACCCACCCACCCACCCAGGCACATAACGGCCATTATGTGGTTTCAAAAAACTTCAGCTCCTTCTCGTTTATAGATTTCCCCCTGTATGGGGGACACGCCCGACTTAACTCTGGGCGTGCGACGGGGAGGATCGGTTCCACGTGCCAAAAGACGGGATCGGAGAGGACCCTCCGAGCGGACGGGTCCGAGCCCTCCGGCTACGAGGGCGACCCAGACCCCCGACGGAGGAGGAGGAGGAGGAGGAGGAGGAGGAGGAGGAGGAGGAGGAGGATGAGGGGGAGGAGGAGGAGGAGGAGGAGGAGGAGGAGGAGGAGGAGGAGGAGGGGGAGGCGGCGGAGGAGGAGGAGGAGGAGGAGGAGGAGGAGGAGGAGTGTTCACAACGCTTTTCGCCGTCTTCGGGGTCCAGGGGCCCTCGCTGGGCCTCGGGGCCGTCGAGAAGCCACTCGGGATCCCAGGGCATCCGGTGGGAAATCTTCACGCCTGCGATGGCAAAGCTCGCGCAAGATTCGACTGCTCGCGAGGTAAGCATGGCGTGCCAAACGTAATGTGCAACGGCGATCACAGCAGAGGTCATTATTCAATGGGGCTTCACTGTATCGTCCACATGTCAATATTGCCCAGCAGACGACAATATCCCCCATGGATTATGGGGGTGCCCCCATGGCCGACATGCACGAGAACAACTTGGAAGTATTTACGGATCAAGCGAAGCAGGTGGGGAAAGAACGCCCGCCGTGCACCCGGCTCTGGATCCCGCGACCACCTGCAACGGATATTGTCAACGACTGGCAGCGCGCGCACATTGGCCCTACGGGCACCTCAGAACAACCACCATCATTCAGGCCAGACCTTCCTGTTCATCACGATGACAGCTGCATCGCGCCAACCATTGAATGCGTTTCTCGGGCGGGATCATCGGCGGCGCAGTTCGATGAAGATGGGCACCTGCTCGGTGCAGCACGTTCTCCGATGCCAGAGTTTTTTCGAACTAACATCTGCCAGCGCGGAAGCAGCAGCCATGACTGCCGCGCGTGCTTTTTCCCCAAGAGCCAGGGGCAGCGCCGACAGTGGCCGGCCGCGCGGCCTTGATGTCGGTAATAACCCACGTGCAGCGCCAAGCCCATCAAATGCTTTTGGGCGGTTCTGGTGGGAACAGGCTTCGACGCTGCCAAGGATAGAATGGGCTGCTCGAAGAAAGCCAAAGCACATCGATCGGGCAGCCAAGCACCCTCGGAGCAGGAACTGTTTGACATAGGGTTCAATCGTGCAGTTGAGCAGCGCGCGGGCCAGGCAGCTCAAGCGCGCGCTCTTTCTCGTGATAATGCAGAATAGATAGAAGTTCCTTTGAACATATATCGGGATTTGTCGCGTTGCTGCGCAAAGGTTCTCGGGCGCTGACCCGGGCGCAGGAGCTGTTGGAGGGCCTCCGAAAGGTGCCGCGGCCACTCCCCCCGAGGCCATCAGTGGCCTCGCGCAAACCCATTTGGGTGAGGGAAGCGTTCAAGTGCGCGAATTGTTAGAGGGCATCAGACCCAGCGCCCGAACCCAGTGTAAAGGGGTGCCTGATATTTTCGTTTATAGATATTGCCCCTGAAGCTTGTGCCCTTCACCACTCCATGCTCATAGGAACCATTGTCCGGACTGGGCCGCCCATCCGGCGCTGCCCTAAGTGCGGAGGGCTTCCTACAGGAAGGGCGGCCAGAAAATTGGGAAAGGCCTGCGCGCGGAGGCCGTGCTCTGAATCGCGCGAGCTAAATAGAGGGGGGGTTCCAGGCGCGGCCCGCTCATTTAGCTGAGGGCGCGATGTACAATAGCATGCACGCTTGTAGCGCGTACTTGTCAGTGGGGAGGGGGGGCGCGGTGGGTGGGTGAGGGGGGGATAGATTGCCTCTTGCACGTTGTGCCATCTCCCCTATTGCCTTCCCCTATCAAGCCCTTTTGTAGCGCCCCGCTAGCAACTCCTATAGTACGGTGCGTGGGCAGCCCCGCGCTGGCGTCGTGTATTGCGGGACCCCGAATTGTCCATGTGCGGGGATATTTGGGGGGCGTCTCAAGCATGGGACCATCGCAGGCAAGCCCGCCAATTGCGTGGACTGCGGAGCTGAGTTCGACGCGGCCACGTTCTTTTCGCAGCAGCAGCAGCCGGCCGCAGCCATGACGAGCCCGCCAGCGCCAGTTGGGGCGATGGAGGTGGCAACACGCTCCAATCGGCTTGGAGTGGACAGTGCAATGCAGTCGGCGCCAAAGCCTGAGCATGTGCCTGTTGTAGCACCGCTTAAGTCTGCGAGGCGCCCCGGGGCGGCCTTGCAGCCCGCCAGCAAAGCCAGCGGGGCCCAGCCTGCACCGGGAACCCTCTTTGAAAGCCAGGCCCGTGCGCGAGCGGGCGGCAGCGGCGCCGCGCCCAGAGGCGGGCCCGCCGAAACCCGCGCAGCCAATCACACCGCCACCAACCCACCTCATGGCCAAGGCGCCCCTCTTGCCTCTCTCGTCTCCTCCTACTCCGCACAGGCACTGAATCGCCATGCGTATGTTGCAGCATGTTCCCGGTCCTCTCAGAAGGCCAGCGCGCTACAGGCGCGCCTCCCTCCCTTGCAGGGACGCCGGCCCTTCCCGGCGACGGCAGTTTCGTTTCGTTTCGTTTCAGAAGGACTTTGAAGGTCTCCGCGCATCAGCGGCGCGCGTGCGCAAGCACAGGGACGCCATCCTCAAGGCTGCCGTGGCCGAGGGGCCCGAGGGCACCGTGCGAGCCCGGGCTCGTCGGAAGGCGCCGCGGCATAAGGCGCCGTGCGAGCCTGAGCTCGGGCTCGTTGTCTTCGGACGTGGACTAATGTCGTGTCCAGTTTTGTTTGCCCCCGCCCCCCCCTTCCCCCCGCTCTGCGCGCGCGCCTCCAGTAGGTGGGCATGGCCTCCTAGGGGCTTGCGGCGTGCGTGTATCTGGCGGGTGGTGGGCGGGCGCCGGAGGGAGCCCATGGGGGAGCTTCGGCCGGGTCGGCCCGCGAGGCAGCGCCCAGCCCTGCGGGTGCGCGCGGGCGGCGGCCCGGACGGTCACCTTGGCCTTGTCTGAAGATGTGGCATCGGGGCGACGTGTCACTTTGGCATTGTCTGGATCTGTGGCCGAGCCAAGGGGCGACATGTCACTCTGGCGTTTTTTGGGGATCTGTGGCCGCGGGACGACACGTCACTCCGGCGTTGCTTGCATCTGCGGCCGCGCCAGTGCCAAAGGCGCGCGGGCGGCGGCCTGGATGCAGGACTCTCCCAATTAGAGATTCCACCGCTCCTGAGGCCCCCCCCAGCACAACAGCTTTGCTAAACAATTATGTTTGACAATCAGGTCTGGCTCACAGCCCTGATCGGCCATAATCTGGTCTGCTGTATGCTATCCCTGCATCTTGGATGGTAGGAGGGTTGACAGCACAGGAAGGGGTAACCAGAGCGACGCTGCCTCCTCTCTTCCCCCCGTCTTCTCCCCCGCGAACCGCGTGCCCGCCTGGCCGCGCAAGTTCGGCCAGGTTGCGGGGGTCAGCGAGGCGCCGTGGGGAAGGGGAGGGGGAGGAACAGCATCAGCAAAACCACAAGCAGCTTCTTCGATTTAGCAGCTTGAAGTTTCCATTACCGTCGACGTTACAACCACGATGGTTTATTCCGCCCGTCCTGCATTGGCATGCGTGTGTTTGGACGTCGGAGGGGGACGAGGAGGAGGAGAAGGAGGAAGAGGAGGAGGAGGAGGAGGAGGAGGAGGAGGAGGAGGAGGAACAGGCGTTGGAACAGGAGGAGGAGGAGCAGGAGGAAGAGGAGGATTTTGATGATGGTGATGATGATGATGATGATGATGATGATGATGAGGAGGAGGAGGAGGAGGAGGAGGAGGAGGAGGGGAGGAGGAGGAGGAGGAGGAGGAGCGGAGCAGGAGCAGGAGCAGGAGCAGGAACGGAAAGGAGGAGCAGGAGCAGGACGAGGAGGAGGAGGAGGAGGAGCAGGACGAGGAGGAGGAGGAGAGGAGGAGGAGGAGGAGGAGGAGGAGGAGGAGGAGAGAGGAATGAGGGAGCAGACGGAGACGGGGGCAGGAGCAGGCTACATGGGATGGTGGCAGGAGGAGGAGGAAGAGGAGGAGGAGGAGCAGGAGGAGGAAGCAGGAGGGCAAAATCAGGAGGGGACGGAAAGAGGATACAGGATAAGGATTAGGATGATAACGATGGTGGTGGTAATGATACGGGAGAAAAGGGGGAGGAGGAGGAGGAGGAGGAGGAGGAGGAATACGAGGGTCTGTTTGGGACCCGGGTGGCTCCGAGAGGGCCCCAGAGAGCCAAAGATATGGCCTTCAGGATCGCTCCAACAATCAGAAGCTCCAGATATCCCATGGTGGTCCAATATAGCCTCCAACGTGCCCCCAAAGGAGCAGGAACAGGAGCAGGACCAGGAGGAGGAGGAGCAGGAGGAAAGGAGGAGGAGGAGGAGGAGGAGGAGGAGGAGGAGGAGGAGGGAGGGGAGGAGGGAGGAGCAGAAGGAGACGGGGCAGGAAGAGGGAGGACATGGGAGGGGGCAGAGGGAGTAGGAGGAGGAGGAGGAGGAGGAGGAGGTGGAGGAGAGGAGGAGGAGGAGGAGGAGGAGGAGGACGGGCAGGGGGGCAAGATGAGGAGGGGACGGAGAGAGGAAACAGGTTTATGATTAGGATGATAACGATGGTGATGGCAATGATAAGGAAGAAGAGGAGTTGGAGGAGGATGAGGAGGAGGCAGAGCGGAAGGAGGAGGAGGAGGCGGAGGAGGAAAAGGAGGAGGAGGAGGATGATGCAGAGGCAGAAAAAGAGACAGAGACCTGCCGCAGGCGTCCTGGCCCGAGCCACTTCCGGCTTGAGCTGCCCCTCTTGCGCTGAAGCAGCAAGCGCCAGCACAGCGCGCGCGCAGTCCGAGGCCCTCGCGGCGCCCCGCCCTGCAGGTCGACCAGATGACGAGGAGGAGGAGGAGGAGGAGGAGGAGGAGGAGGAGGAGGAGGAGGAAAGGAAAAGGAGGAGGAGGAAAAGGAGGAGGAGGAAAAGGAAGGAGGAGGCGGAGGAGGAGGAGGAAAAGGAGGATGAGGGAGCGGCATGAGGAGGAGGATGAGGAGGAGGGGGCAGGGGGAGGGGAGGAGCAGGAGGAGGAGGAGGGGGAGGGAGGAGGAGGGGAGGAGGAGGAGGACGAGGACGAGGGGGAGGGGGAGGAGGAGGAGGAGGAGCGGAGGAGGAAGAAGAAAGGAGGAAGAAGAGGAGGACGAGGACGAGGAGGAGGAGGAGGAGGAGATGGAGGGAGGGACGGGGGGGGAGGAGGAGGGAGAGGAGGAGGAGGAGGAGGAGGAGGAGGAGGAGGAGGGGAGGAGGCGGAGGAGGAGGGAGGAGGAGGAGGAGGAGGCGGAGGAGGAGGAGGAGTAATAATAATATGGGCAATACGAACCAGCATACGAAAACTAATAGTATTAATACTTTCAATACTAATGATACTCATAATACGAAAGCGCTCGTAAGAGTAATGCCTCTAATGGCATTACGAAGTAATAGTACGGATACTAGTAATATCATCAACAACAATAACAATAGTAATAGTCATTCGACTACGAACAGTACTACTAATGATACTAGCATCAATACTGCCGTATCACTAAGAATACTAGTACTCATATCAATACGCATATCAATACATTTAATACTACGAAGAAGAAGAGGAGGAGGAGGAGAAGGGAGGAGGAGGAGCAGGAGGAAGAAGGCGAATCTTACTAGTACTAATGATATGAAGGACAGTGTCAATAACATGACTAAAAACAGCAATACTTACATTTCTAATACGACGAACACTACTTCTACTACTACTACTACTACTACTACTACTACTACTACTACTCCGACTACTACTACTACTACTACTACTACTACTACTACTACTACTACTACTACTACTACTACTACTACTACTACTACTACTACTAATACTACTACTACTACTACTACTACTACTACTACTACTACTACTACTACTACTACTACTACTACTGACTACTACTGCTGCTGCTTTGCTTGGCTACTACTACTAACTACTACTACTTACTTTACTACTACTACTACTACTACTACTACTACTACTACTACTACTACTACTACTACTACTACTACTACTACTTACTACCACTACCACTACCACTACTCCACTACCACTACTACTACTACTACTACTACTACTACTACTACTACTACTACTACTACTACTACTACTACTACTACTACTACTACTACGACGACGACGACGACGATGACGACGACGACGACGACGACGACGACGACGACGACGACGAATACTACTACTACTACTACTACTACTACTACTACTACTACTACTACTATTAATAGTAATAATACTAATAATAAAGCTAAGAATGATAACACTACTACTGATGAGGACACTGCTTATACTAAGAAAAGTAATTTTAACAATACTGATGTCGATGGTCATAATAATATAAATAATATTACAGTTGCTAGTAAGAACGGTATTAATAATACGAATGATAATAACACTGAAGAATAATACTACGAAGCATTATGATACTAATATGAAGGATTAGCATAATGATAAGAAACGTACGAATGAAGAGAAAGAGGAGGAGGAGGAGGAGGAGGAGGAGGAGGAGAGGGAGGGGGGAGGGAGGGACGGGAGGGAGGGAGGAGGAAGGGGGCGGAGGAGGAGGAGGAGGAAGAGGAGGAGGAGGAGTACTACTATTACTAATAATAGGAGTTATCAGAATACTACTAATAACCAGAATCATAATACTAGTATTAATATTAATCTGAGAAGAAGAACAAGCACATTAACAAAAAATAGCGTTTTTATTACTTTCAATAATACGGACAATGAAACTACCACTAAGAAGAAAAATACGAGTAACACATAACAATAAGAGGAGGAGGAGGAGGAGGAGGAGGAGGAGGAGGAGGAAGCGAGGAGTAGAATGAGGAGGGAGGGAGGGAGAGATGGGAGGGAGGAGGGAGGGGAGGGAGGGAGGGAGGAGGAGGAGGAGGAGGAGGAGGAGGAGCAAGAGGAGGAGGAGGAGGAGGAGGAGAAGAGGAGGAGGAGGAGGAGGAGGAGGAGGAGGAGGAGGAGGAGGCGGAGGAGGAGGAGGGAGGAGGAGGAGGGATGGTGATGCAGGTCGACCAGATGCCGTTCCACGCCCCCGCCGACAGCGTCTTGGCCCTCCGCCCAGAAGAGACCCCACACGGCGGGGCCGAGCAGGTGGAGCACTCCGGTGGGCCCCAGCACCTCGGCACGCTCTCGGAGTGCCTCCTGCGCTTCCCCGCGGGCCCGCCCGAGGCGCCGCGCGGCCGCACGGGCCCTGAGATCCTCGCGTCCCCACGTGTCCGAACCGGGCGTTGGCGCCTTGGGAAAGGTCACGACGGAGGGTTTGTCGCTATTTTCGGCCTCTGGGGGTCGCGACGGGGCCACGGGGCCGTCAAACAGCAACTCGGGACGAGGAACTGGTCCCTGGGGAGTGGGTCGGGATCTCGGGGGGTCGGGGGGATGGGTCGAGACCCTGACGTCCCAATTTTTTCGAGCCGGGCGTTGGGCGCCACTCCAGGGCCCTCGCAGGTCGATCTGGCTCGAAGACTGGCGCAGGAAGATGGTGTCCAGGGCTCCGGGCTCCGGGTGTCTTGTTCACGACGCCGCCCTGTTTGCGGCGCGTCGGATCTCGGGGGGTGGGGGTGCGCAGGAGGGGCCCGTGCCGCCGGAGAGCAGCGCCAGCGAGGCCGAGGAGCAGCGGCCCGCGGGGCGCCACGAGCGCCCCCGCGGGGCGGCGGCGGTGGTGTACCACGGGCGCGTGTCGCACCCGCGGCTGGGCGCCAACATCCCCGTGCAGCTGGAGCTCTGGTCGGCAGGGCGGCGCGCGAGGGGCGTGTGGTTCATGCTCGGCAGGAGCGCGGGCGTCGTCGCCGTCGAGGGCGACGACGACGACGACGACGGCGACGACGACGACGACGACGACGACGACGACGAGGAGCGTGGACGCCGTCGCCGAGGGGAAGGGCAAGTGGCCCCTGAGCGTGCGGACCGTCGGCGGCGTCACGAGCGCCACGCTCTGGGGGAAGGAGGCTCAGAGGAGGACAATTCTACCCAGACTGCTACCCGGTATTATGTCGGGCGTGTCCCCCTACAGGTGGATTTCCGACGAAAAATAAAGAATACCCCAAACATACCCCAAAAAGGTAAACAAAAATACTCAAAAAATAGTCCCCTGACTATTTTGGGGCTATTTTTTGATTATTTTTGGGGATATTCCTTATTTTTCGTCGAACGTCCCCCTGTAGGGGGACACGCCCGACTTAATGCTACCCATACCCGCGTCGCAGAGCGCGCTCCAGCCTATGACGAACATGGGCCCGCATTCCTTCTTCAGCCTATTGACGACTTCTGGCCGCGTTTCTGGCCGACGGGCGCGGTACACACACAGAGGAGGAACAGGTACCCATACCGCTACCCTTCCCTCGTTCACCTCTTTTGGGGCCTCCTTGGAGGCCCTCGTCGCCACTGCTGGGTTCGCGTCGAAATCCTGGTCAGAACGCACCCTGGGAGAGGGAGAGGTCCGGGGAGTAGCGGCATCGGTACTTCCGGTCTCCCCAGAGGTGGCCCCCCGGTGCTTTGCTGGCGAGTTCTCCTTCGGTGGCGACGGTGGCGGCTCCTTCGAGCTCCTGCAGTGCCTCCAGGTTTCTCTGTCGGCCGAGTCTGCCGACTGGGGCTCGTCCAGCCACAGCGGCTCGCTGTCCGCAGACTCATTGGATTCCTTGGACGCCCCGGCCATGAACATGAAGGAACCCAGGGCTGGACCTGGACGTTGTTTCTCGTTTTGTTGTCGTTTTGCCCTACCTGCTTTCCGCACCTCCCTGCCAAAACGAAGGACACGACACAGCCGAAGTCCAGCAAAACAGCGCTTAGGTCCAGCCCTGGAGGAGCCTATCGGGTACTACGGAAACAAGCTCGCGGTGCAGTCCTCAGGCAGGCCTGCGGACGAGGTCGACTCCAAGCTGATCTTCACGTCGGAGGAGCATCTCGCCCAGGCTCGAGGGAAGAATGCGGGGACCATGGCCAAGATGCCGCTGGAATTTGTCGATGCCGAGTTCGGTCACGTTCCATGTCTGCCGTCGCCGATTCGCGTGGCTTTTTCTCGAATCGACGCCGACCAGGCTCGACGCGGACCAAGATGAGCACGGCATTTCTGCGTTCGGTCTTGGTCCCAGGACCGGTTTTTCGTTCTGAGTCGTTTTTTGACGGCCCCGAGGCCCGGGGAGGGCCCCCGGAGGCCGAAACTAGCGAAAAACCTCCCGTCGTGATTTCTTCACGACGCGAGGGGGTCTGGGTCATGGCCCCCGTTGTCCTTTCCCTCCTTAGAGGCACTCGTCGAGGTCCTCAGGGTGCACCCCAACGGCGTGGACCTGGCCCAGCTCAAGCAGGTCATCCACCGGAGCTCCGGCCGCTGGGTCTCCGAGGCGCTCCTCGGCTACAAGAAGCTCCGCGACCTCATCAGGCCATGCGGTGGCCGATCCCAGACCTCCTCCCCAGACTCCAGATCCGCCCTACTTTGGCTTTTTTTGTCCAACTTAAAACTGCGTCGGAAATCCACCTATAAGAAGCCGAAAAAGTAGGGCGGAAGTTTCTGCAGCCAACACAAAGTACGGCGGAAATCCACTGAAGTAGGGCGGAAACAGCAACAGAAAAGTAGGGCGGAAATTGGCATCAGCGGGGCTTGAAAAGTAAGGCGGAAATTCCAAGCCTTACTTACGAGTTTCCCCAAAGTAGGGCGGATCTGGAGTCAGGGCTCCTCGCGCTGTGAAAAAATCACGACGGGAGGTTTTTCGCTATTTTGGGCCTCCAGGGGCCCTCCCTGGGCGTCGGGGCCGTCAAAAAACGGCTCGGGATGCTAAGCCGGCCCTGGGGGAAGGGTCCAGACCTCTGGGGGTCGACGCTGTGAAGAAATCACAACGTCGAGGGTCTGGGGTCATGGGAGTCTTATGTCCTCTCAATTCCGTCTTCAGCGTCGACTGGCGTCGATCAGCGCCTGAGGGTCGTGAGACGGCGCCGATTTGGCGTCTGCCAGCGTCTGTTGGCGTCGATCTAGCGCCGATCCAGCGTCGACGAGCGAGGACTCGCACCAAGAGCCGACAAGATGGTGTGGGAGGCTCCCGTGAGCTGCCACCGAGAGGTCGCCCACGATGTCCCAGGCCTGCTGGTTTCAGAGCAACGGCAGCTGCTGCCGCGTCTTCGGCTACAGCGCGTACGCCCCCGCGGCCGTGGCGGCGACCCGCGGCCGATGCCCTCCCGGACTCGAGGGCCCGTAGGCTCGGCAGAGCTCCTGTGATGGGCTCGCCAGGGACGCTGCCAGTCGCGGTGGGGACGTTCCAAACTCCTCCTTCGGCTTGTGAGCGAGGGGGAGAATCCAGGACCTGGCGTCGTGGCCCCTATAGGACTGAGATTGCTAGCCGTGCTCATTTTTTTGCACGCGGGCATCCTCTATCCCAGACCGCCGACGTCGTGACTTGTTTCGCAGCGTGGACCCCCGGAGGTCTGGACCCCTTCCCCAGGACCGGTGTTTCGCCTCGAGCAGTCTTGTTGACGGCCCCGAGGCCCGGGAAGGGCCCCCGTAGGCCGAAAATCGAGAAAAAACATTCCCGTCGCGATTCTTTTCACGACTCAGGAGGGGAAAAAGCACACAGACACAATTGACCGTCGATTCCCCAGAACACATGGGAAAATATGGGAAGTGGGGGGGAAGAAGAAAACCCCCCAAACATTGGAACATATGGGAATCTTTTCTCATTTGTGTGCATTTCTTTGCGTGCCCTGGGGCCCCTTCAACGACGCGAGGAGGTCTGGGATCCTCGCGAGGCGGCGTTGCGTCGCCTCCTCTCCTGCCTCCAGGCGCGGGCGGGCGCGGCGCCACGCCGCCGAGACGCGCTCGGCGGAAGCACGTCGCCCTCCCCGTCCACGCCCGCGCGAACCAGAGCTCCTTTCGCACGGGCGCCCTCGAGGGCGCGAAGTTATTCGCGCTTCGCGCTTCGGCTCCGGTCTCCCCTCATCCTCCTCTTCTCCCCCTGGAGGAGGCGCGAGAGAGCGCGAAGCTATTCGCACCTCGCGCTGCGCGCGGCGCGAAGCGCGGAGTTGGGAGCCCTTGCTTTCGATTCCTCCGGTTCTATTCGACTCGATTCGGTTTCGATGGATTCCGATTCCGATGCGACTTCGACTTCGGATTCCGAGTCGGGGTCCGAGCTTTCGGTGGGTGCCTGCTAGCTGGCCTGCCGATGTCTACCGATTCGACTTTTCCCGACTCGGCCGTCGATTTCCGCCGATCCCATTCATTTCGATCGCCGATCCGACTTATCGATTCGATCTGGGCTCTCCCGGCGCGAACCCGCGCAACCTCCTGCCAAGGCAGCCCCGCGCTCCCAGGCCTCCTCGCGTTGTGAAAAAACCACGACGGGAAGTTTTTGTTTCGCAGTTTTCGGCCTCGGGGGTCCTTTCCCCGGCCTCGGGACCGTCAAGAGACGACTCAGGACGAAAAGCCGGTCCCAGGGAAGGGATCCAGATCTCTGGAGGTCGACGTTGTGAAAAATCATAACGTCGGGGGTTTGGGGAAGGCGCCGGAAGGGTGTCAGAAGGTCGGCGGAAGTAAAACGGGGCCGCCTCCGCCAGCGGAAGCCAGCGGAAGGGCGGCGGCAGGTCCCGGACGTAAGGGGTGCGCTCCCAAGACTTGACGACATTTGTGGGTTCGGGGTTTCCGGAGTCCACCATGCAGGCCACCAGGTCTGGGTTGCTCTTCGCGAAGCGGAAGCGCTCCTCTCGCCCGTCACCAGCCCAAGCCCCCAGAGCACGGTCTTCCGCCGGCCGCGCCCATTTGCTTTCATGTCTAATCGTATTGCAGCGGAGATTCTTTATTAGCACGTCCCTCGGCATGCCACCCGCGCATGAGAGCGTCAGGCTGCCGAGCCGAGCTGTAGATAGTGGTCCCTTGCAGTCAGCTCGAAAGTTTGAATCCGTCCATCCATCCACCTTCAGGCGTTGGTTTTCCTACCTCCTCACTCCTCGTACCCATGTGCTCCTCGCTTTCCCCTCTCCCCGGCCACCTCTTGCTTCTCCGAGCCCCTCCACCACTTTGCTTTGGCTGCGCGCCACTTTTTCGGAGCGTTCGCTCCGGTCGAATGTGTCTCACGCGGTGAGACCTGACCACCCTTTGCCCAGCTGTGACGGGGATCTGGGGCACTCCATCGAGTACAGGGTGTGATGACGAGCGTGTCTGGGCTTTGACCCAGCGCGAGGCCACGACCTTGGCCAATCGAGGAGCATCGAGTCTGAGCGCCAAGGCGTTCCCTCAGCCAGCGCGACAGCGCGATGCCCTGCTCGGTGCGCCCCCCGCGCAGGATCTCCAAGGTGGGCGAGGAGCGGCGGAGGAGCAGGGAGAGGGAGGAGGAGGAGGAGGAGGAGGAGGAGGAGGAGGAGGAGGAGGAGGAGGAGGAGGCGGAGGAGGAGGAGGAGGAGGAGGAGGAGGAGGAGGAGGAGAAGGAAGAGCAGGAGCAGGAGGAGGAGGAGGAAGAGGAGGAGCAGGAGGAGGAGGAGGAGGAGGAGGAGGAGGAGGAGGAGGAGGGCTGGAGCTCGGCAGAATGGCCGTCGGCGGGCTCGTTGCGCCGCTGTCCGCCCTCCCCACCCCTTGCACGCCCTGCATCCGTCGCTGGCACCCGGCGCACGCCCTCACCGAGGCTTGAGGGCCCACGGGATACCGCCTCGCTGCAACAGAGCGAAAGCGGTTTCCGTGGTCAGTTCGTCATAGTCTCGGGGGCACTCGCTGGTCGTGACAGGCTAGCTCCCTTCCGCCTGGCTGATCAGTCAAGGTCATTGGCGGATGGTTTTCACTCTTGGTCGCCTGCAGTGGCTGCGTCCCAGGTCACAGCTGCTAGCGTCCACGGCATGATGCAGTTTCGCCAGCTACGTAGGTAAAGTCTTGACGCTTCGCGTATCCCCACCACCATCCGTAGCTACCCTGGCTCAAGCCGTCTCTGGGCCCCGGCCCCCCGGCCGGGTCTCCCAGCCCAAGGGGGTAACCTCATGCCCGTGAGAATAAGCACTAGGGGATAATAAAGTTCGGGGTTCAGGGAGAGATAATAAAAGTAGCCCAGCAGACCTCAGCATAATCTCGAAGTAAGAGATGATCAAGAGGAGACCAAGCCGAGCACGTTTTGAGACATCCTTGGCGTTTAGTTTTCATAGAAATATCCTCAACAATGGCTTATCTCGCTGGAATGGAGGAAGCTATATATAAAACATAAAAATAAAAATAATAAATAATACAATAAAAGAAATGATAGGGGGAGGAGAAGGACGAAGAGAAGAACAAATCTCGAGTTTCAAATCTGTTAGATTTTATTTACAAGCGCTTTATGAATATTGTTGTTTTGTAAGTGCTCGTGTAGGGTAGCTCATGTGCCTCAATTTCCATGGATAAGCAACCCCAGAGATAAAAAAGTTCAGGCGAGCGTGGGGACAGAGAGAAATATAAAAGAAGAAGAATACAGTAGAATAATAATAAGAAAGAAGAAGAGGAGAATAAGAAGAGGACGAAGAAAGGAAAACTCCAAAGTTCCAAATCTATCAATTTTAAATTACAAACGCTTTATGAAAATTGATGTGTTAAGTGCTCGTGTAGGGTAGCTCATGTGCTTCATTTTCCATGGATAATCAACCCCAGGGATAAAAAAGTTCAGGCGAGCGTGAGGACATATAGAAATATAGAAGAAGAAGAGGAAATTATAATAATAATAAGAAGAGAAGAAGAAGAGAAGAAGAATAAGAGAATAAGAACGGAAAAATGGAAAGTTCCAAATCTATCAATTTAAATTTACAAGCGCTTTATGAAAATTGATTTTTTATAGTGCTCATGTAGGTAGCTCATGTGATCCCCTTTCCATGGATAATCAACCCCAGAGATAAAAAAAGTTCAGGCGCGCGCGGGGATAGCAACATCGCTTGATGTTGCTATCTCAACATAGCGTTTCGAGGTGATAATGAAGTTCGGCCTCAGCGCTCGCCGCCCAATTTGGATTTTGTAGAGGGCGACGATAATCAACTCTAAACACTGAAGGGGGGGGTCCCTTTATTATCATCGGCATGCGGTTATCCCCTAGGAGTCTGCCGGCCGCGCGCTGCCCCCGGGCCGCGCTCCGGCCATATCAGACTCCCTGGATCACACCTCCCTCAGCGGCGCGGCGCGGCAGCCAGCCTGCCAGGTCAGGCTTAGCATGGATGGGAACCCGATCGGTGACAGATCTAGGATTCCTGGGAACCCTGCGGGTGAAGATGGAAGCCTAGTCGAGGGCTAGGGGGCCCACGTCCTGGCCGGTTCAAGCCCTCCTCCCCCTGGATCCCAGGATACCATCCCTCCAGGGCAGCCATCGCCCCTCACTCCTTGGGACCCTCCGGGCTCGATCGGTCCGATCGCGTCCGAGGATCCCTTGATCGCACCCGTCAACTCAGCAGACACACGAGAACAATCGGCCTTCAGCCGGACGGAAGTTGAGGGTGCCACGGTGAGCGCCGCGAGACACAGTGACACTGCGACCTTCAGTCGCTTCCCTGGGTTCGACGTTGACAGCAATGACTCTTTCCCGCCAGACCTGTTTCCCTCCCTTACCCCGACGCTTCCTCTGCCCCTTGCTGGGCGTCCAATCTCCTTCTCTCCTGGCGGTGAAGGGCAGGACTGGATCGCGCGCTGCGATACCAGGACCACGGGGGGCCTCGGCCCCATTCCTGATGAAGAGCATCCCCCGAGAGGCTCAGGCCCTTTTGGGCCGCGCAGGAGCTCCCGCCAGGGAAGCGCTCTCGAAGATCGGCCCAGGAGCTTGACCGACGAGGGTGGGCGGCATACGTCTGAGGCTGCCCAGGGGGGTGACTGCGGTGATGATGGGTGGGTGGACGGACCGCTGTCCGCTCACGTCCCCGATCCACATCCCATTGGCTCGCGCCCCCACTCCGCCGACCGCCCTCCCTTGGACGCTTCAATACAGAGAGGAGCAGCCTTCAGCTGCGTAGGGGCCGATCCTTTGACCGTGGAAGCCATCGTTCTGGACGCTCAGCCGACCCCTCCCGCTGACGTGAACCGACGTCAAGACGGCTCCCGCCTTCCGCCCGCCACCTCCCCCGGGCACGACAGCGTTGTACACACAGGAGACGGGCCTTCAGCCCGGGGAGTGCCGTGCGAGACAGCAGGAGTGGACGAGCCTGTAGCTCGGGATTCCTTAAGTGGACAGATGGACGTTGACGGCGGAACGGCTGCCAATCAGCTCCCTGGTCATCCCTGTAATCCCGATGACTCCCGTCCTTCATCCGCCCCCCCAAGCTGACAGTCGCAGGCGGGGCGAGCCTTCAGCTCGGGAGCCACAGGCGGGGCGAGCCTTCAGCTCGAGTCTCCAAGGCGTATCTGACAGTTATAGAAGGGACGAGCCTTCAGCTCGAGAACCAGAGACGATGCCCATGGATGCCGAGAGCGCCGCAGAGACTGTGGCCATGAGTGGCGGCGGCATAGAGCCCCCAGCCATCCCTGGTGAAGCAACTCAGGGCCTCCCTCAGCAGGCGGGCTCCCAGGCCAACGGCGGGCGCACGGCTGACACCGCCGACGTAGACATGGAAGCGCCAGGTTCCGCAACGGGGCCGACCCAGAGAGGGCGCGTCGAGCATGGCGCGGCTGGCGCAGTCGGCGATACAGGCGGTTTAAGTGGCTGCCGCCATGACACCGCCGCTCCCCTCCCTGGAGAAATGGGCGCCACGACGGCAGCAGCACCCAGCCCCCATGTCGTTGACCACACCGAGGGGACTGGCCTTCAGCCAGGAAGAAATGGGCAGGAAACGGCTGGGGTGGACGCGACAAGCATACTGAATGCTGCGCTCGACAGGGGCTACAGAGCGGCGCGTCTCGCTACTGACAGCGCCGAAGCGAACGGCCGCAGCCAATCCTCCCTGGTAGCGACGACGGCTGCATCCACGGGTCGACCCCACACGTCCGACGCCAGCAGGGTCCCATCCGACCCTGCCCACGAAGTGGGCTCCCTGGTTGATCTGATCGATCGCATCGGACCCCCGATCGTCGCCGCTGGACCGCCCTGCGCCCCCCTCTCCCCGCCTACCCGCCCCCCTCCCATCCACTCCTCTCCTGGCCCCCCCCCTGGGTTAGAACATCTAGACGCCATTCCGGGCGGTGGTGGCCATGGCCGCGAAGACCCGTCCCAAGGGGTGGGCCGTGGGCCCCTCATCAGGACTGCCAGCGGTTCTCCCTTCGTGTTGAGGCGTGCGGCTCCCAGAACGCCCAGTGCGCCCATCCCACTCCCTTTCCCTTCTCCAGACCTAGCCCTGGAGGAGGAACTTTGGATGGCGAGCCAGGATGCCCCCACTGACGCGGAGGACGGCACCAGCCAGGCCCATAGAGAGAGGGTGTAGTACGCAACCGACCTGCATGCTCGATGCATGGACGCCACCGGACACACGAACGCAGACTGGGCAGTCAGTCGAGAGACTGATGGGCCCATGTGTGGGCCGCGCGTCGCTGACCCTAGGGTCACAGGCAGGGGGGGCACCATGAATGCCCTCCGACGCCACCTAGTGGGCATTGACGGCCCCTGGCGTGAAATCCCCGACCGAGGAGCACCTAGAACCGCCGACCAAACCAGTAATCTGGAGCTCCTCACCCACCACGCGTGGAGGGGGCATCGCCCTGGTCATCCTGGTATACGGGAAGGCAGCCCCCTGCGAGCGGTCCCAAACGACGCTCTCCTCCCCGGGTCCGGATCTCAGCGAGCCACCTCGGCACCAGCCCATCGCCATCGTGGACCTCTCCTGGCTGGTCTGGTCAGTCACAGGCGGAGACCACGAAGGACGCTTAGGGGGTACTCAACCTGATCCGACGCAGGTGCTAGCCTTCCGCTTCGCGAGTGTCACTCACGACCCCTGTGTAAGAATGGAAAGACTGGACGCGGACGATCCCTCTGTGGTGGAAATGCAACTAGCACGTCCCGAGTACGCCGTCATGACGACCGCAGCACACCATTGCGACATCGGGATGGAGCCTCCGAGTGGATACGACACGAACAACATGCTCTTGCCCACCAGGCCTCCCCGTGATGCTGTGCCACCGCGCAGCAGCGGCCCCAACCGGCCGGGCGGCGCCCAAGACCCCATGGACGACGAGACCAGGGCGTACGCGTACAGAGTCCTAATCCACGAGCGCAGGCAAAGCATAGTTCATTTTCCGGACCACAGGGACATCAGGCACTGGGCCACCACGAGGGGCAATCTCGAACGGGTTGGCGACGACGTACACTCGAGACAACAAGCAGGTAGAGGCCCCGTGCCATGGGCAGAGCCAGCTCTAACAGGAGTAACGGCCAGCACAACTGGCATTCCCGGGGTACCGATCCAAGGTGGCGACAGAAATGACAATGCGTGGCCCTGGTCCACCACGGCGCACCGCCTGCTGCTACGGGACTTCTTTTGCCCGACTCAACGGCGCGACTTCTGCGGATCGTGGATGCTGCGAGGCCCGGCGGGCCGACATTGCATCACCTGCCAGAGGTTGGCCAACCCGTGGAGCTACAGCGAAAGCGAGCAGCAGCCGGGCGACCCCCACCAGGTTCACCCCCACGCGGAAACAGGCCAGCCACTCAACAGGCACGCCCTCGACCTCCTTGATACCACCCTGCAACTTCAGCTGGTCAGGGCTGGCATGCGATACGCCCCAATCGCAGAGCATCTCTACTTTCCAGCTCAGCCGGGCCCCACGGATTTTACCCCGACCTGGCTCGTGGGCGAGCTTCTGGGAGCCTGGAGGCACATGGCGTCCCAACCCGACACCTGGGCCAACTGCGGTTTCATCGACAGAGCGGACCTTGGAGATGAGATGCAACTGCGCCCAGCAGTGGCCACCCTGGCGCTGCTTTGCTCCGCGCCAGAGTCCTGGGCCCTTGACGCCTGCTTAGGAGTACGCCGAAT